AAATAAATAAATAAATAAATAAATAAATAAATAAAATCTTAAAAAGAAAAAAAAAGTTCTGTCCAGGGGCACCTGGGTGGCTCAGGCAGTTCAATGTCTGACTCTTGATTTCAGGTCAGGTCATGATCTCCAGGTTGTGAGATTGAGCCCCACATCAGGGTGTGGAGCCTGCTTAAGATTCTCTCTCTCTCTCCTTCCTCTTCCCTTCCCCCTACAAACCCCCCCACCCCCAAAACCAAAAATGTTTTGTCCAGAGACTGGTGATTGCCTGAGGCTCAGGGGCTGGGTGGGGGGTGGGTGAAATAGGTGAGGGGGGGTCAAAATTACAAATTTCCAGTTGTAAAATGAATAAGTCATAGGGATGTAATGTACAGCATGGTGATTACAGTTAATACTGTATTGCATATTCAAAAACAGCTAAGAGATTGAATTTTGAGAGTTCTCATCACAAGAAAAATTGTCACTATGTATGGTGACAGATGTTAACTGGACTTGCTGTGGTGATCATTTTACAGTATATACAAATACTGAGTCATTATGTTATACACCCAAAACTAATGTTGTCAATTATACCTCAATTTAAAAAATAAAATTTATTTTTAATTTTCCTACTCCAACCATTTTTTTAGGATTCGTCCTTTTAGAGAAGCTAAAATCAGATTAAGTTTCTAGGCATTCTACATTTCATTCCATCTTATTGGCTTTTAACTGATTGCTTTGGAATTTTTATGTGCTTTCAAGGTATGATCTTAAGGACACAAGTAAAATCACACTGGTTGACATCCAGCTGATCGCTGCCATGGGTCCTCCAGGTGGTGGAAGAAATCCAGTCACTCCCCGGTTTATTCGACATTTCAACATCTGCTCTATTAATACTTTCAGTGATGAAACTATGGTCCGAATCTTCTCATCAATTGTAGCATTCTACCTGAGGACTTGGGAATTTCCTCCAGAGTACTTTTCAATTGGGAACCAGATTGTCAGTGGGACAATGGAGGTGAGTGAATACTGCGATACAAAATGTTTTAGTATTACATATTTTCCTAGTTTGGTTCTTTTTTTTTTTTTTTAAACATTTTTTTCCCTTAGCCATCTACTTTGATCTTCAGTGTCAGAGAAGCTATTAAGAAGGCTTGAGAACAGAAGATCATGGGCTTTGAAATCAGGGAATCTAACTCGGTTTGAGCCTTGACTGCTATTTCCAAGCTATGTGGCCTAGAGCAAGTAATTTGACCTTCCATAAACTCAGTTTTTTAATCACTAAAATGAAAGATAGCACCTATTTCACAAGGCTGTTCCAAGGAAATCATTTAGAATCAGTATCTGCCACATTACGAGGGTTTCCCTAATTGTTAGGTTTCTACCCTGTTGTTTATTAATTTTCTCTCTCTTCCCTTCCATTCTTCATGTTTGTCTTTTAAAAGACAGAGAAAGGGGCGTCTGGCTGGCTCAGTTGGTAGAGCATGCAACTCTTGATCTTGGGGTCATGAGAGCTTGAGCCCCACACTGGGTGTGGAGCCTACTTTAAAAATAAATAAATAAACAAATATTAAAAAAAATAAAGAGGGAAACCTCTGCAGCTTATGAATGAATACTTTTTTTAGCCATACCACATATCTTAGGAATAGCAGTGAAAATATAGTAAGAAGGAAACACAGGGGTGGGAACAGAACACAAGATGGCCCAACGGCTTTGCCTTATTCAGTGTGTGTTATCTGCCATTGCTCGGGAGGCCAGAGCCAACCTCATCACTAATGATAAAAGGAGAAACTGTATGTAAGGTAAGTGAGTGATGATATTACTGAATTAAGCTTTTCTGGAGCCCTTGATAAAGTGGGTTCACTGTGGCATAAGTGCAATGAGAAGTACAAAACTCCCTAGAATCATCCCATTGGTTTCCAAGAGCACACTGTATCTATCTAAAGTGTCCGCCTTGTTCTGGTGGAAAATCTGTGCTGTTAAAATAGAGAAACTATGAGCAAAGTGATAGTACATTGAAATTATAGTACTTATTCCGATACCAGAAAAGTGCTTCTATTTATAAAATATGATTTATGTATTTTGGGCATCTCCTGCTTTGAAGCATTTTAGACCTACCATGTGGAAGCTAGGAGGGGGGATGAATCATAGAACACAGATAAATAAAAAATAATTTCATTTGTTTTTTTTTTTTTGTGGAGGGGGGGCTATATTATAAAAGATTTCATTTACTGTCCTTAAAGAAAATATTAAACTTTATTTGGTAAGTTCAGCATATAGTAAAATCATACTTTATTTCTGTATTATAGCCAATTGTTTAAACTCTTTAAGAAATGACAGAGATTTTTAGTTCTTGTGTGGCAGTATTCAAAATAACACAAGTAAAACAGCTAATAAAAAAAAAAAAAGTTTTCACGGGCACCTGGGTGGCTCAGTCGTTGAGCGTCTGCCTTCAGCTCAGGTCATGATCCCAGGGTCCTGGGATCAAGCCCCGCATCACGCTCCCTACTCGGCGGGAAGCCTGCTTCTCCCTCTCCCATTTCCCCTGCTTGTGTTCCCTCTCTCGCTGTGTCTCTCTCTGTCAAATAAATAAAATCTTTAAAAAAAAAAAGTTTTCAGAAAGCACTGCTTTAGATTTGTCGAGCCATGCATATGTTCAAATATAAAGGACCCAAGGTTCTTCTCTATCTCTATTGTGACACAAAATTTCACATTTAACTGTTGGCAGAGCTTGTGGGCTATTTGAAAATGTGGTGCAATAGTATTTTGAACCTTGGATTTCGAAAGACTGCTGGCCCTTTCACATTTTCCAGATCCATTATAAGAAACTTACAAACAAGTGTAAAATGTCCTTAGCCACTGTCTCCCAGAGTCAGGACCCATTTGCCCTTCCTCCCTGATTATTCCTCCTTGCTTGTTAAGGTAAATGCCATGTTATTGTACTGTGTTTTGGCGTGTGGTGGCTAGGTTCTGCTTACCACGCTTCCCTGTGGGTGTGGTAACCAGACTGAATTGCCATTATTTGCTTGTGTGTACATGATACCAAGGCAGCTGGCCAGTGTAACTTCTCCCACACAACCTGTTTTGACTACAATTTTTTTAACCAAATTGTAAGCATAGCTTTTATTAACCTGGGTAGGAATTTCTCATTTATATATAGCGTGTGCTTTTGGTCATAGTTTTCCATTAGTGATTCCATACTGATACACTAATCCAGTGGTTTTGTGCACACGAAAGGTAATTTACTACAAATGATTCTGGTACAAAAAAAATAAAAGAGGCTTTAGCAGGCATACATGCCTGGGATACCGATAAAAGAAAAAAAAGAATAAAAAAAAGAGCTGAAGAAGAGGCAGAGAGAAAATAGGAGCAAAGGGAAGGAAGAGAATCCATTGATTTGTTTTGAAGTCAAGGGTAGTCAAAAGGAAATTGTTTCATCCATCCCTTCATTTGGCATGCTTCAGAATGAGTTATCTTGGTTTCACTTTCCGCTAAAGTTTTTGCTAATTATTTAATCCCGGGTCATTCAACTTTAAATGGAACAACTGTAATAACTGGGAGATAAAAACATTGTCCTTGGGTTTGGAAGGAATCTGATAATTTTAAGTTCCCTCAACTTCAAAATGCCTGTGATAAACCAAAATAAAAAGCTAAATGTCATGCTAGACTTGGTACTGTACAATTTTCCAAACCAATATAATCTGATAAGATAAATATTTTATTTTATTTTTTTAAAAATTGGTGACTATTTTTTAATTTTTTAATTCTTTTTAAGATTTTTTTTTAAGATTTCATTTATTTATTTGACAGAGAGAGACACAGCGAGAGAGGGAACACAAGCAGGGGGAGTGGGAGAGGGAGAAGCAGGCCTCCTGCAGAGCAGGGAGTGCAACGTGGGGTTCGACCCCAGAACCCTGGGATCATGACCCAAGCCAAAGGCAGACGCCCAACAACTGAGCCACCCAGGCGCCCCTAAATATTTTATAGAATATACTATTTGTTACATGACTTTGCTTATTATAATAATTTTATTTTTGCTTTGTTGCTTTTTTCATATTCAGATATATAAACAATCCATGGAAAATCTTTTGCCCACTCCCACGAAATCTCATTACACCTTCAACTTGCGGGATTTTTCACGTGTCATCCAGGGCTGCTTACTCATTGAGAAAGATGCCGTGGAGAGCAAGCACACCATGATCCGCCTGTTCGTCCATGAGGTTCTCCGTGTTTTTTATGACAGGCTCATTAATGATAATGATCGATACTGGCTGTTCAATTTAATCAAAGCTGTGATAAGGGACCATTTTAAAGAATCTTTTGATGGTATCTTTTCACATTTGAGGAAGGAGAACACACCAGTGAGTATATTTAGTGATTCTAAACAAATTAAAATTGTACAATAGCATGGATTGTTACAATCAACTTATCTTTAAAAAATACTCTTGCATCTTAACAGTCATATTTTTTTAAACTTTCCTCATTGATAAGTATTTATTTTGAGAAGATTTGTCTTCAGAGGAATTATGTAGGTAACGGAGAAGTTATTTAAAGAATAAAACCTTGGGGCGCCTGGGTGGCTCAGTCAGTTGAGGAACCCTCTCTTGATTTTGGCTCAGATCATGATCTCTGGCTGTGAGATTGAGCCCTATGTCGCGCTCCATGCTCAGTACAGAGTTTGCTTGTCTCTCTCCCTCTGCCCCCCAACCCTGGTTGCCCTTGCCCTTGCTCTCTCTCTCTCTCTCAAATAAATAAATAAAATCTTTTAAAAAAGAGAATAAAACCTTATATGATAGGGATTAAATGGTATAATGAATGAAAAGTGCTTAACATGGTGACCATCCCTTAGTAGTTACTCACTCAGAATGACTTTTCCAGGTTCTGGGGGGAAAAATTCATATGACAGAAAAATTTCTGTTCTTTTTATTTTTGGAGGATATAATATAATTTCAGGTATTAATTTTACAAGCATATTATTTACTATCTTAATGTTTAAAAGAATTAGTTGATAATCATCCCATAACATGGACAAAACAAAATTTTATATAACATTTTCTTAAATTTATTTTATAAACTGTAAATTTTGTAACTTTTTGATTTCCATTCTATAGATAACTGAAGAGAACTTGAGAAATCTCATGTTTGGTGATTATATGAATCCCGACCTTGAAGGAGACGACAGAGTTTATGTTGAAATTCCAAATATTCATCATTTTAGTGACATTGTGGACCAATGCTTAGATGAGTATAATCAAACTCACAAAACAAGAATGAATCTTGTCATTTTTAGGTACCTACATTTGGTATTGATGGTGGAAATTGTTATTTGTAAAATTTTTCTGTGAAATATTTAAAATGTGGCAAAAGGTATAAAGAAAAATATGGTGAATAACCCTATACTGATCACCCAGCTTAAGATATAAAATATTAGCAATTTATTTGAAGTCCCTTGTGTAGCCAACCCTCTCTGACTGCATCCCCATCATACCCTTGGGAGTAAAAAGAAACTCATGTGCTTCTTTGGACTTTACTACACATGTGCATTCCAAAACATATATGCACAGTCTTACTTTGCATGTATTCTTCAAGTTTATTCCCTATTGTTCGTGAGAGTCACAAAAAATGAGTTTTTTTTTTTTACATATTTTTTTTATTCTTATGTTAATCCCCATACATTACATCATTAGTTCTAGATGAAGTGTTCCATGATTCATTGTTCGTGCACAACACCCAGT